ATGTAGAGCAGTTTTGGTGGAAATAAAAGGTATGTTTTAGAAGTAGGTGGAAAAGACTAAACAAGGAGCCTCCAGCACAGTAAATAGATTTAAGTGTAAAACAGTTTGGTAGGACACTAAGTGAAGGAATGCTTAAGAAGTATTTAAGGGAATAAAAGTACCATGTCAAACAGTAGAATTGAAGGGAATGTTATAAATGTTAATGTTTAAGAAAAAGATCAGTGAAAAGGAACACATAAATGAACTCTTGAAAAATGGTAAGGGTGCAGGTTCTCTAAAACTGGAGAAATTTTAAAATAGGTACCGTGCTTTACTTATGGAGTGGCTATGTAACTTCTTTAACGTATATGTGAAGACAGCATTTGTATGCTGAAGATCAGAAGAATGCCACTTTATTCCCTTCCATAAAGAAAAAAGTAACCAGAGTGAATGTGAACATGAATATTATGGGGGGATTAGTCTGTAAATGTCCATAAAATAGTCTATAAATTAGTCCATAAATGGGTAGTTGTTTAGCAGTATTCTTATTGAAATAATATGAGAGCAACAGTGAGCAAATTTAAAACATGAAATTGCTGATAAAAAGGTAATGGATTGTATATATGTTGTGAGAAAAGAATGCTTGTGAAAAGAAGAAAAATTGCTATGTATGAGAGTGACAGGAGAAATTGAGTGAATGATTGCAAGTTATAAATTATGAAAAACTAGAGCAAGTGAATAAAATTATATACCTTAGTAAAATTTTTATTAAAAACGGGAAATGAAAAATTTCAAGATGTGCAAACGCAAGTAAGAAGGCAATAGGTAGAATGTGCTCTGATACAAGAACTGAAGGTTTGTCAAAAGAAGTGAAAATGTCTTTGCATAAAAGCATGTGCCTTTATTATATGGAAATGAGAGTTGGGTATGTGAAGAAAAGCTTTAAAATAAAGTAGTGTGGGAATGGGAATCTTACGAAGTACGTATGGTAAAACAGACAGGTAAAGATTGTTGCTAAATGAATGGAATGAATACAAAGGTGAGCGATAGTAAAAAAAAAAAAAAAGTACATCGATGTGCTTTGGTCATAGAAATAATGAATTAAGTTTGAATTGCAAAACAAATATATGAAAGGAGTTAAGAGGGAGGGGAAGATCAAGAAAGTTGTGACTGGATGATGATATACCCTTAGAGGTAGAATTATAAGGCATTGAATAAATAGGTATATGGATGTGGTGGAAGCAAAAATAATTTGCAAGGATAGAAAGATATGGAGTGGTATAGTTAATGGTTTTGATATTGGTTAGCTTTAGATTTCTTTTGCTGTTCCCTTAACTTCTGTCAATAATTTTACTAGTACTTAATTCTTTCTGCATTTTGTATAATGTTGCTTACTCTGTAGGGGAAAAATATTATGATTATGTACGTATGCAGGAAAATCTAAGATGTACAAAATGTAATGTTTTAATGAAAATCTGATTTATGTTCACAGCATAAACTTTTATATAACTTGGAAAAACTTCCATGGTAAGAAAATTACATGTTTTGAATCAATAATTATTATAAATACTCTTCTAACTAAAATATAAACAGAAATACTTCCTTTACCATTCTGTGGGTTTAGACTTAAATCCTGTTACCACAAAATTGGGCCAAGTCAGGATATGATATCAGGACAAAACATAATATTGTTTGAATATTGATTTTAATAACATTTAAATTCATTTCATTAAATATAAATACTATTATTACTTTCTGTGTATTTAATAATATCCTCTTTCTAGCACATTGAAAATTATCATACAATAAGGGTTTAGGGCTGAGGTGTCAGGGTCTATATCCATGGTTATGCATGCCATATGTTACATACTTTACTTTAAAATATAATAAGCAGAAAATATAAGCTCATTGTCCAAACAGATCACCATACTTTGTTTTCAGGGAATTAATAGAGGGATAGAATAGGTGAGCGAACTCTATCAATAACACCAAAATAAACTCTTAGTCTGTATGTACTTATTTGGCCTGAGATTAAAATGGAGAGATTAAGAGTTAAACCAATAGCATCCTAAAAGAATTGGAGACAGAAAATAGATCTGAAGTACCATACAGTGTTGGAAAGAAGATCCAAGACTATAATGCTGATTTATATTCCCAGGGATTTGGATGTTAATACTGTCAAAGAAACAGAAGACATATGTTTACCATTCTCTGCTGAAGTGAAGGCTGAACAGTCATTGTACTGGAAAAGTAATGTTGGTTAAATATTTACTTGCTTTTTCTTAATATTAGTGATGCTCAGACTGTTTAATTGTAATTATTTCCAGAGAACCATGAAATAATGGGAATGTTTGACAGCTACACTATTATTCAGTTTATAACTTAGATTTCAAAATGTTGAAACATTTCCAATAAAACAGTGCAAAAGAGAATCATTCTGTTGATTGGTATGTCACAAAAGTCCTTAATGCCTGATCTATCAAGGAGGCAAAGGAAATTGCATGGAGAGAAGGAATCACATCCCTATCTAGTGAAAGTGGAACACTACTTTAGATTCAGGTCTGTGCATCTACAGTGCTTCACATAGTGAAACTTCTCCACTTGCCACCACTGGCATTTACCAGAAAGGGTGGCTTCTGTCTTCTGAGAACAACAAAACCCACACCAGATAATTTACTGAACATAGTGTTCTTTCATCCCTGAGTAAAATCTAAAATACAATATTTTTTACACATTTTTCTATTCTTTATTCTGTATATTTTCAGCAGCATTCTCACAAATGATTGCAGTACATCCTGTTATCTTTTCCAGTCTTTTTGAAGCCATTGAGATAAAGCTAAATATTTTCTTAAAAACAAAATGTTAAAGCTTGAAATTGTTAAAATAATGTTCAAATTTTGACTTTTAGATCTTTTTTGTTTTAAATAAACTTTTGAATGAGCTAACTGTATCAATAACACCAAAATAAACTCTTAGTCTATATGTACTTAGTCCATATGTACAATAAGACTGAAAACTTATTGCTTAAAGACAGAGATAGTCCACATAAGAACGAATGACTAATTGAAAGCATTGAGTTTTATTTGTTTGAATTAGAATAACAACACCTATCTGAATTCAAGACTTTTGGAGACAGTCAACTTTTTTTTTTAAGAGAGGGAAAGTCTAAGTGCAACATTTCTTGAATTACTGAGATATACCTCCACCCCCCACCCCCTATAGTTTCATATTTAACTCCAGATATTTCATTAAACCTGTCCAAGTGAGTGGGACATTTCCCTATACTCTATGAATGAAACTGGCTGAAAGAAAGCTGCTAAGCCCTTTCATTTAAATTATGTGATAGTAGAAATGGCCAATGCTCTCAGATGAGCTCATGCTAGCCACAGTACTTTGCATTTAATCTGATTAGACTACTGCTGGTGACAGCTATCTTAATTCTGAATATTCAGAAGTTTTGGTCTTTTAAGATGTTATTGCATATATTATTTCAGCAGTAGAATAACACATAAAAAATCTAAATTGTATATAGATTTGCATACACAAACATTTTGTATAGGAATCTGAAATTTTGTGCATTAGTTTTTAGGATTGTGTGCTACATAGTAACATTAAAAATGAAACTTAAATTGTGCATTTTAGAGAGATGTGCTGTTACTATTTGCTTTTTTAATTGAAGATATTCAGCCTTTAAAGGAGAAAACAGCTGCTGTTGTAGCAGAAGTCACAGAGTTAATTATACGATTAGAAAATGAACGTAAAGATGCTGAAGAAGCCTTGGAGTTTGAGAAGCAACGTAAAAAAAACCTATACCGAAATTCAGATAAACTGTCATTTTGGAGACTACAACAGCTTCCCAAAGCTGTTCAAAAAGGTATGAAAAATTGCCATGTAAAGAAAAAAAGAATTAATTGATTCACTTGTGTGCCATCTTAGAACTTCTGGGGGAAAAAAATGAAATTACTATTCTGTTTTTTGGGAGCATTTGAAATAACTGTGATGAAATAATAGTCCAAGAGAGAGAATTATGTCGGCCTTTTTTTTTTTTAAACATACACTGAATTTAAAGAAAACCAATCCAATCTACCATGTCCAAAAGATCAAAACTTAGTATACTGCTCTTATTTGAAGCCGTATTTGCATTTATTTTCATATATTACAAAGTGAGTGTGTATGTTCATCAGGAAGATATTGTGACTATACCCTGGTCAATTTGCTTACTCCTTAGTAATCCATACATTGATAGCATTTTGTACATTATCCTGTCAATATAATCTCCAAAAGACACTAGAGAATATGTGTATAAATATGCTCACACATAGTATGAAGTTTAGTGCAAGGCTTTGTGGGCTTCTTTCCAGGCACTGAGCAAAATGTCAGTCAGTCCTTGGGGAATGTGTGTATTCTGACATCAAAGAACATGGGAGCAAAATTAATACACCCTGCTAGATCAGAATGCACAGTCCCTAAATAAAGAATTTCATTTTTAAAATATTACTGCAAGTATAGTTAAACTTACTGAAGGATTCTGTGAGGGAGCATGTATAGTTCCATGAGGTTCTCATAAGTGATTTCAGAATGAGAGATAGTCTTTTGCACTCCACTTGAGTTTTGTTATATGTGGTAGAATTTTGAAAATACTTAATGAAATAAAAACCAATTTAGCATTAAAATATTGTGTTATAACACTCAGAGTTTAATTAGGGTAAAATTGTATAAGTGAACATTAAATTCATATGAATATGGTACTAAAGTGACATTTTCTGCACAAACCATTTCTTCATAGTGGTTTGTCACTACTTGGTAAAACAGGATTTCTTTCCAAGGCAATTTAAGATGTACAGTACATTCCTCTCTTGCGTACACACATATTTGTAGAGCACGTTGCTTTATAGGAACGGCCCTAATACACCTGGCCTCCATACAAAATTCACAGCTCTGCTGTTTTTTAATCATTGTTTCAGTTCATGAAATTAAACGATATCACCACCAACATTAATTGGTAGTCATTACTTCACCTTCCTCCTTGCTGTTTGTGCAGAAATCTCTTTTGTTTAAATGTTTTTCTTAAATTTAGCAACTTATTCTTCTTTAATCCCAAAAGAGGGATATTAATACACTGTACTTGATGAGAGTGTATTAATATCCCTCTTTTGTGTCAAATTTATCACAAATCGCATGCAATGAATGGTTATACTATGCACATTCCCATTTTTTAAATTAATATATTTTTGCTTCAGTTTTGACTATAGGTGCCACTTACATTTTCTTGTGATTAGTTGGAGGCTTGACCACAGGCTAGGTACACTGAGCAGACAACATTCATAGTTCTGCAGATATACACACGTACTCTAATGGATTAACGAAATTATGCTTATTTATTTACTGTATTTATTTATTTCCAATATTTCTATCCCAATCCTAACAGATTCTGTATAGGTAACAACAAAATAAAACATATAATACCAAAACAAAGGTCTGAATCCTCACTGAAAAGGTTCCAGATCATCTGTATCCTCTGGAATCTTCTGTAGTTGATTTGCCATCACTTTTTCAGTAACATTTTCCAAGAAGTAGAGTTGGAGATTTAGCAAAAGTTGCCAAGCATAGGCAGGTCAAAGGAGGACTTCTTCAGTATCTTAGTAGGAGAACATAGAAAATCCTGCTGATATGTTCAGTTTTCTAAGGCCTATTGAAGGTTATGCATATTGAACAGTGTTCAAAACAATGTCTAGAAATGTACATTCTGCAAGGTTTAGGAAATTATTATTCATTATGCTTGGCAAATGCAAAATCCAGATGAGATGGGCTCCAGGTATATGCTCTCTGGAGCTGTGAGATAGTAACCATTACTTACAGGAAATAATTCAGGATGCTATCTTCATAAGTCATTTTGTCTTCAGATGTTGAAATGTTAGTGGATATGTGAGATTTGACTTCTTTTCTGGAAATTGCTGTTGCCTATTTTTTAAAAAATTAATCTGAGTATTCCAGCAGTATAGCACGGGTGATTCTTTATATCTGTGGTGATAACCATATCAGAAAAAAGTTGAAACAGAAATAACAATCAGACCTTTAGCTTCTTATTTATATGTATTGCTGAAAAGTAATTTATCATAGACTACTATACAATATGGACATTAATTTTCTTCAGAAAGTGACAATCACAGCATTGTATATAGGCAGATGATATAAAATTATCTTTTGAAGGGAAATGTACATATATTTCGCAATGTAGCAACTTGTTATATATTTAAACTTAAAAGCAATAGTTATCATTTTCTTGTAATAAATAGTTTCTTTTATATTTTGCAGAATGGGAGAAATGTTTGCAAGATATTACAGAATTACAGTGGCATTTTGAACAAAAAAATGAGCAATTACAGGATGCACTAAACCAACTGACAAAAATAGAGGCAGCTAATTCAGTGATCCAGAAGCAGATAAACTTCATGAAGAAATACAGCCCTCTGCTGGAAGAAAAGCTATGTCATGAAGATGATTCTATGAAAGGAGTAAAAACATTATTTGTGGAGGTAAAGGGGTTCAATATTTTAATTGTATTTTCTTTTGGGTTAGAACGTGCCCATTTTAAATTTCTGTGCCTAATAGTAATGCTATATATCTAAATATGAAGAAATGTGAAAAAAATAACACAGTATCCATGCTTTTCATTTTTGAGGATGAAAAATAAGCATATGATTTGTTATGAAATCAAAAGGTAGTTTTATTATAGCAGTATACAGGCTTGGTCAACTGTTCAGAATATAAATATGAGATTAAATATTAAAATAGAAGTATAATATTAATATTGATTACATCCAATCATGATTTTCTCTATAAAAAAAGCCCTATAAAAATCAAAAAGTTACCTGCAAGTTTTACTCCTTGAGTCTACAAAGTTTTCACTTTGATATGTAGTATCTTCCTTATAGAAATTGCAGTCTTTGTTTTGCACATGAAATTGTGGTTGTAATTTCTTTTTTAATTAACTGAGTTGTTTTATTGTTTAATGCTTTTAATTTTTTGTCTGCTGCCCAGAGTCACAGTGGCAAGATGGGCGGCCACTGTGAAACAAATAAATAAATAAATGCAAGTAGTGGCTTAATAAAGGCAAGCCTAATGTTTTCATTATTAGATTCTCAATAGCTATATTAGAAACTTCATTATATTAAGCCTAATTCTTAATGGTTGAGGTGTTGACTGAATCTTTACCCATGGAATTCTTGAGTTTTGGAATCTTGGAACAATTGTAGAACAAAAGGCTGTTTTGGCTCTGTTGTTAGTAGCTCCATCCTGTTATAAAAACCTACTGTTTATGAAACTGCTTCATTCAAAGCAAAATAAAACATATGGTTTAGGATGTTGTCTCCTGGAATTGGGTTGGATTTACTTAATTTAGAAATTACATACTAATTGGATTATCAGCAGCAGCATATCACAGACGTGCACACACACATGTGCACTGCATCAGCTGATTTTATAAACCCTTCATTATGGTTATTAAGACATCAGTATGGTTTGTTAAAAGAAATATGTAAGGTAATCTGCATGAATATCCATATTTAATGTATGAGAAAATTCTAAGATTCTGAGTGGTCATGTCTGTAAGAGGAAAAAAAGAAATTCAAGTTTTGTAATAATACCATGGGTGTCCATGAAGGGGACAAAGGGGAGCAAATGACAATACGAGTGTCTCGATGTTGTCACGCAAATGCCACAAATCTGGCAAATGCCATAAGTAATAGTGACATTTGTAGGATGATGTTATTGCATATATGTTGTTTTAGCACTATTGTGGTTTGTTACTGGCTATTTGCAAAAAGGTTTGTACAGATATTAATTAAAAGTATTAAGCATGTCTTAATTCTTTAAGCTTGATGCTACAGCTATAATCACATATGTTATTTTAGATAGTAGCAATTGGATTGTTTATTTGATTTGTTATCTCCAAACCATGATTCTGCAAAAAACTTTTGGGGATACAGAAAATAAAATAAAATAAAATAAAAAGGGAGTTAATTTTTACCAGATAAATACATTCAGATGATAAATTCACAATATGTTAGTGAGATAAAAATGTGAAGTAAGACACTGATAATTTCATTATAGTACTGTAGATTAGTATAGGCTACCTCTTTTAAATTCTTTGTATTAGGCTATTTGGTCATAGTCCTCATTCTCTGTGGCCAAGGGAAAGACTCTAATTTCTTTTTGGAAAAAAAATCCTCAGTTAAGTATACAGATTTCCTAAAGAAACTTACATGCATGTCTACAGTGTTATGGTACTCCCATTAAACTAAGTTGGTTTGTTTTAGGGAATCAGATAAAGGAATTATGAAAGAATGCAAAATTAAAATATTATCTCATATGGTACTTGAGTATTGTTATTATCATACTCTTTGTGATATTTTTAGTTTTACATTGTAAATTAATTTTGAAAGGCAAAAACTCGATATGATACTGTTCATCAGAAATATTTGGAAGTGCAAACATTGCATGAAGAAATCAAAGAAGAATGTGAAAAGAAAAGGCTATATATGTTGGAGCAAATAGAAGCTGATGAGATTACATTAAAGCGTCTTATGTAAGCGTATTTTAATTTTCTAAGATAATTATTCTTTATGTGAACTCCATTTATACATAGGAAACATGAGTTTCAGATAACAGATCTTGATTCTTTTGGAAAGCTGTGTTGTTTTTATATAGCACCATCTATATAGGTAAGCTGATTCACTGTCTGTTTTGTAAAGAACAGCTATGACAAATGCCTCTCCCAAGGGAAAAGAATTGAAGTACTATATGGTTAAGGAGAGGAAGAAATCGTGATTATCTCAGTGATATGTGCTTTGTTCTAGGCAGATGGTCTAAAGTTTTCCAGAAAAAAGGTGATTTTATTTATTATGTATTAATTTGTTTGAGCTATATCCAGCCACTTCTTGAGGTTCTCAAGATGGCTTACAGAGGGATCTCCTTTTGTTTTATTCCCATAACAACAAACATGGAAAATAGGTTGGAGTTGGATAGTTGGAATGGAAAAGTAAGGCAATAATTTGTTGGTTCGTGAGAATAGGAGAAATAGTAGAGCTTTTGCTAAACGGAAGGGAAGAAGATGATACAGTAGTGCTGGGGAGGATCAATTAAGGAATTAATTTCAGCTAACATGCTAACAGCCAAAGCTTGTGGAATTTTCTTGTAGCCAGAAATGAATCAAGAATAAATTCTGGAACATAAAAAACAGTATCTTGCACTCTGTGCAGGAGGGAGCAAAGGCATAAGGAAGATTAGATGGGCCAGTGGATCTGCCATGCTGAGTTATTGACAGCAGTTGAAGGGGAAGGGAGGAAGTTAGTGCAGTATGCCAAGCTGGTTGCTTCTGGGGGGAGGAGGAGAAAGAAGGAGCAATACATACCAGTCTTGCCCTTCTATCCCTTCCTCATCTGCCACAGTTGATATCTTTGGCTTTTCCTAGCTCTTCCCCTCCTCTGAAACACTCCTGCATCAGTTTTGTTCAGTGCATGAACCAATAAATCTCAAATGTATGTTTCATTTCAGGCATGAACCAGCCAACAAGGACTGTTTTGTGTACAGAATGTTTTGCGCATTCCTAGTTATTATATAGAAAAAACCCTCATTTATCAGTGATGGTACTCATAATTTAAGTGATATCTCTAATTACAACAAAACCTTTCTCTGCCTTAGGAGCATAATTTCTCTTCATATGACATGTTACAATGTTAGTGTTGTGCCTAGCAGTTCTCCTTAATTGTACATCATTGTAGTTTATCAAAAGAAGGAATTTACAATCAGAAGTTCCTCACCATAGTATAATGAAGTTTCAATGAATGTCTGGATTGAATCCTATCTACTAGGAGCAGAGTTCTGCTCATGGAACAGAGCCTTCTTCTTATCCTTTCTTGATGCCTGTTTTTTCCAATGGCAAAAAAGCCCCTGCTCCTGTATATTGTAGGATCCTCCACACAAGAAGGATGGCAAAATCACCAAGAATTGATTACCTGCCATTATACAAGAAGAAGCTAATTTAACCAGCTAGTATATTGGCAGTATTGACCTGGAAATAGTTCTGCATTCTACTTTTCTAGGACGCTTTTTAGAATATAAAATACATACAATATTTGCTGTTAGTGAGCAAATCCAGAATTCTTTCTGCTGCTCTCTGTCCTCTCTTATTAGCTTCCAGTATATAATGCTAAACTTTATTACACTGCAAAAGTATTCGTTGGCTAAGCTGACTGACAAGAAACTAAGACTGCAGAAACTTGTGAACTGTAAATCATATGAAAATTAATGGGATTTTCATCAACATGCTTAGGCTTACATGGTATGTTAGATGTCAGAACTTAAGAAAGTAGTATTGCTACTTTTACTAGTGGTGTAAGAGATGAATGCAATTATTATAAAGAGATTGATAGTACGGCAATTATCAATAAATGTTCACTTGATCTTTAATACATTTGGAGAAATAGACCACTTGATTCTTGCTGCTTTTTAGGGATGAGTTAAAAGAAACTGACATTTTTTATACTGACTTCAATAATAAGATAAATGGATTGAGGGAGGAAATACTGGAAAATGAAAATCGCCTTGAAGAACTAATCAAGCAAGAAGCAGATACAAAAGCTGATTTAAAGTCTTGGCATGATAAAGTGAGTTTTAAATATTAAGTGCAAAGCATGAAATTCTCAAAAATGTAATAGCACATGAAATCCTATGATTTTGTCTATTAAAAACTTAGGCAACTTGCAATCACACTAATAAATGTGTTACATAGTACAGTGAAAATATTTAATTAAAAATTGCATACATTCTATCTTGCAAATTCCGGCATCAGTACCCAGCATGTTTTAGCAACTGGGGCCTACAGATCCCTGAAGGTTCCACTGGGGCTAACATCATCCCTGTTTATCACTCTCCAGGATGAGTGTCATTAAGTTGTTATATATGACAAATTATCAAGGACACAGTCTTGTTTAGGAATAAGTCCCACTGCATTTAGTGGGATTTCCTAGTAAACATCTATTGGAATATACTTTTAGTCCTCTATAATTTTAATATTAATATAATTTTGATATTGAAATTGTAACTTCCCATGAATGGAACTAGCTAGCTAAAATACCCTATCAAAAGTGAGGAGGCAACATACAGTTATTTCCTTTTCTCCCTGCTGTACAGGGCTGAGGGAACTCACCTGAGTAATATAGGAAGGAGCTGCATGAGGAAAGAAAACTGATAATCTCCTCAGTTCACTTGCAAAACCCTTTTCTCACTTTGTCAGTGTCCTTCTGTGAATGGAAGGAAGGACAATTCAGGATTCAAGATAGGTACAAACATATGTTTGTATAAAGTCATAACCTTATCTAGTCCAGCATTGCTTCCTCAGTGGCAGTAAGCACAATAATACTATCTCATTCATATTCTTCAGCAACTGCTATTCAAAGGCATATTGCTCTGATTATCTCAGACCTTGCAGAGCTGGGAAAGGTCCAGAATAGAGTTATAAAAGTGACCAAAAAGCTTGAGCAACTCTCTGAGAAAATGCTATAACTTCAGGAACATTTTAGCTTGGGACAAATGTAGATCAGAAGATTTATACACGTATAACCTTTGTTATATATGTATAAAATTATGCATGATGTAAAAAAATGAATAAAGATAAAATATCTATAAGTGCCTGGGGTCATCCAATAAAGCTAAATGATGAGAGATTCAAAACTAAGAAAAGGAAATCCTTCACACAGATCATAGTTAAGCTATGTGATTTATATGCATAAGATATAGTGATAGTCATCAATTTAGATCAAGTTTGAAGAGGATTATATGAATTTATAGAAGATATGGCCTTTACTTTACTAGTTCTTATCATATTTTGAATTCCAACATGCATATAATTAGGCTCCCTTTGCCTCCTTGTATAATTACTTTCATTTATATTCTTTCATCAAGATCCATCATGCTCACCACAATTCATCTTAATTTTTTAAAGAATATTTTGCTAGTCCTTTCATCTTTCATTTTTCCATTTTATGTATACACTTATGATGCTAAATATATCATAGAGATTTTTTAAAAACTGGTTGTCTTTGCAGACAATAGTGTTTTCTTTGGGTTTTTTGGTAGACTATAATAATCTTATTGTGAAGTATATTTGTGGTACTGTTTCAAGTTAATGTTAATTAAATAATGTATTTTTAATATTAGGAAAAGCGTTTGAACTTGAAAATTTCCAGACAAGAAAATGAAAATAAAGAACTGCTAGAGAAATTTTTTGAAGAGGTGAAGAATATGGAAAGCTCTGTAAGTTTTAAGATGCATATACAGTACATAAAAATATTTTTCCATTCAACTCATGTCAGTATTTTCATAATTGTTTATGTTATAATCTGTAGAAATCCAGTAAAGAGTCTGATCTACAAATACTGAAGGATAAGCTTGCGAGTGATCTTCAACAAATAATGTATTTGCACAATGAAAACAAATATCTTAAAAATGAAAATGCAGGCTTTATGCAAAAATTCAAAGAGAGGTAAGTGGTGCTATGTTAACAACCAATATGCTTACATTCTGAATAACACAATTCAACAGTATTATTTTGTTTTTAGCCTTTTTATTCTCACTGAAGACATAGGACATTCACTTGAGCTATATATAAATTAATTTGGAAAGATAACTGATTTTGGTCGAACTTCTCCAAAATCTGAATTAGCCTAACCTCAGGTACTAGTACTAAACTGATAAATTATAACTTAAATAAGGAAGTTTTTCAGACATTTTCAAAAGATGTATTATCCCATCCAAATACACAAAGCCTCTTTGCCAATACTAAGATGATGGGAAATGGGGCAGGGGAGAGAGCAAAGAGATTAGAAGGAGCTAAAGAGAACACTGTGGTAGCAACAGACTAATTTTGCTTCATCTCAGACTTAACAAGAATAATTATAAACTCCTTGGAATAAGCAACAGTGAAGATACCAATGTAGATACAAAATGGCCATTTAGGAATCTCATACAACTGATTAATTCTTAGGCTAATTAATACTAATTAATTTTAGTAGATTAAAGCCTATGTTTGCTTAGTAAGCAATAATTAATACAAATATTGAAATGATACAATAATAATTGTTTAAATGTATGTTCTGTTCCTAAGAAAAATATCCACAACTGATCTATAAATCTCAAATGAACAGCATTACTTAAAGGATTTTTTAAAACTACTTCCAGTTCTTAGGTAAATTTCTAAACTGGCAGCCAGAGTACATATGTTAAGTTTGAGTTTGTATTTAACATGTCAACTTTGCCATTTTCCTAGAAATTGCAGGACAAGAGTGAGACTTGAATCGCAATGCAGTTGGAGGTGTCATTTAACCCAACCGAAGCTACTTCATACTATGAGAGCTTATTTGAATAGCAATATAGCAAAATAGCAAAAATATTAAATATTACATACATAATACATTATTACATTTCATACAGTGCTATTGTGGCTGCAATGGACTTTATATGCTCTGCACCTCTCTCCAATCAAATAAAAAAAGTAATTGCATTTTTGACTAATGCTAATGTTTATATATATGTATGTACGTAAGTATGTATATGTATTTTTCTCTGTGGAAAAACCTCTTTAATAAAAATTATTTATATATATATATATATATATATATATATATATATATATATATATATATATATATATATATATATATATATATATATATATATATA